AAATTTAACTATTTGTTCCAATACAACACATATGTTAAACTCATAAACAAAATAAAAAATTAACTATATTTCATAAAATTGAAAATTAAAATAAAACATTATTAAATGAAATAAACTAAATATAAAGTAAATTATACGAATATGTTAAATTTAAAAAATTTTCCATATGAAAAAAAATATATATATAAAACAAAAATCAGAAAAATATATAATAGTATATAAATGATCATTACGAGATATAAAGTACGACAAATCCAAAAAAGGAATACGTAAAACAAAAAATAATAAATTATGACAATATATAAAGAGATAATGTAAACAATTAAAAATACAACAATCCGCCCGAAACCCACAAATCATGTTCAAATTTCATGTCAACATATAAAAGGGCCCAAAATATTAATATCTAGATCTATATTTGGTAAAAACCCTAATAGCACACGTTTCTCAATGATTCTCAACCGCACTTCCATTTACGCCCACACTTCGACTTATACTATACACACTTAATTTCTCAACGACTAATGAAGCTAAAACTCAATATTTTTTCTATACAAACACAATTTAAGTTTTTAAAAAGTAAAGTATGGTATAGTGAAAAAAATAAGTAGAAAATAAAATACGAACCAATTACTTATAAACAACATAATAAACTCTCGCGCGTAGCGCGGGCAACCGACTAGTATACATATATAGCGAAGTAGATGGGTCTTTACAAAACACCACGATCTGCTTGTGATCATATAAATTAAACCAAGAAAAAAAAATTTATAATACTGTACTTATGATCAATTCTTAAGCATGTAATAATCATATAATTTTAATTATGATCTCTTTATTCTACTATAAAATAAATATGCGACTAACAGTACAAAATATCCAATTCATAAAACAAAATAATGAATAAATGTACATGGTTAGCTAGTGCCGTTTTATAAAATATAAAAAAATCAATAATTACAATAGAGTTTTTCTCTTAACTACCATTTTATTTTTATTCACTGCTTCTATTTTAGAATGTGAGAGCAACATTAATGGTAGTTTCTTAATATTGGCTCTTAGTATTAGTTTAGTATTAAAATGCTAAAACATTCTAAAATTATTTTAATTGTGTCCATATGTTTAATTTAAAACACATTTTTCATTTAATTTAATTTTGTATTTAAGCTAAGAATACCCTAAGATACTACCATTAAGGATGGATGATATACTCGAATTGGGGAACATATCTTATATAACGAATTTAAAAGAAAAGTAGAGTTGTATTGAGATGCCCATATAAAAGAATGAACAGATAAATAGAATGAAAGATATGAAACTAAATGTTTAATTTATTGCACATTACCTAAAACAGATACTGAAATCAACATGCGGTCAACAAATTCATAATATATACAAACATTATTCTGCATTGTTCATAAACATTCAAATCTATGTGAGCAGCAAATTGGAAGTCCAAGGCTTCTTGATTACTTGATTAGAAAAATAATTAGCTAAACCTTAAACTATGTCTTCGTAACACTGATCAACTAGATTTGAAGCATATTTATCTGGGACCTATAAAGTATATATACTAACAGAAATAACTTCATAATTTCAATTAATTGATCATCATTAATGTATCCACTTAAGAAAAAACCATCGCCTAGTAACAATTAGCCGCTAGCTCAGAGTTTACAATTTCAAGAAAATTAGAATTTGAAACAACCAATGATAGTACCAACATAGAGAAAAGAGAAGACATGAAGAACGAGTTCATAAGTTGACAAGACCAACAAAACAACCTTTTCTCCAGAGAGATTCGATACATAGTCCTGATACTCGTCGCCAATACATACCAGCTGCTTAGTCGTCATAGTAAACCTCAGTGTCGTCAAGGAAGTCTACATTGTAGTAGTCATCATCATCTGAGTAAGAATCATACTTGAAAATAGTGAGATCATACGGATAATCAGCGGTTGAGTCGTCTGGTCGTCTGAAGTCTTTCTTCTCCGAACATTGTTTCTCAAGATTTCCAGCAAGGTTAATGTTGAAACACTTGCGCAAATCAAGATGTTCCAATTGAGGACAACCGACAAGAATGGCTTTCAAGCCATTGTCAGTTATTCTGTCCCCAAGAAGCTGGAGGTGGTGTAGTTGGGGCATGGTTTCAGCAATTGCTAGTGCATAATCATCATCATCACATTTGATGATAGAGGGTATGTAGGCTGACAATCCTGAGGAGTTTAGCTTCAATGTCTTTAGCAGAGGACAAGCGTAGCCGATAGATTTTAAATCCAGTCTAATCCCCGAGTGTGACACCTCGAAGGTTTCAAGGAATGGGAGTTTTGCGATTGCGTTCCCAAATTTTTCTTTCGTCACACATGTATAGAACATTCGAAGTCCAAGACTTCTCAGATTCCTTGATCTGCAAATAATTGTGTGTTAAGTCATATCAAAAACTAAGAAGAAGAAGAACAATAACTAGAAATCCTCAAAGTGCTAATTAACCAACTTATAAGCATGTAAAATAAGTAAAGCAATGAATAACGTGCTACTAGAAAAGCCTATGATATAGACCAAAGAGTTCATTAACAACAATACCACAAGTACTAGAGTACGCACATAAAAGAAAACTTTACTAGTTTGTGATTCTACTCAGACAAAATTTTGTAAAAAAGACATGATAAACAAAACATATTTCAGACATTGCTCATACATTAAAAGTTCAACAAAATTTTGCCCTAATCCTTACGAGAAATAAGAAGAAAAGGAACAAACACATTTCAGATATTTCGAAACATATATACACACAGTGAAATCAAGCAAAGCCATATATATTCTCGGGATATCCATAATGAAACAGTTCAAACTTGAGAGCGTAAGAAGAAGAACCTATCAGCGATGTAAGTGATGAGTTCATCGGTCGCAAAAACACCAAGATTGATCTCCAACAAGCCGCCCTGGCTTCGATCAACAGCGTGACGACACAAGATATCGAAATCCAAGTCGCCCGTTCCGCGGTTTCCCAGTTCTCGCATATCGATTCTCCGCCACATGGAAGGGTCTTTAGAGATCCTTCGCCACTGCGTGCACGCCTTCTGAGCGTTCTCAAGTATCTCAACAGCACCAAGTCTTAATAAGATCGAAGACGTTAACTCCAAAGGAAGCTTTGTCCAGTCTGTTATCACCGGCGGAGGCACGAGAGAAGACAACGAAGAGGCAGACATGTTTCTGAGGATAGGAGAAGTGAAGTGTTTGTTGTGTCCGACCTTTACGGCTCCTGTGTCTAAACGAAAATTAGGGTTACGTAGTATAATGTGTTTGCGGTACGATTCATGCCACGTATAATAATACTTGATAAGTGAAGGAAGACTCAAGCAAGGCCACACGCACATGTAATGAATAACACTCACGCGCTTTGTTATGTTTATTTGCTTTAATTTTTCTAATTAGGCAAATATAAATATATAATTCACATGCACAAAGAAACATATCTTCTTAGGTAGGAAATCCAACAAAAAAAGAAACGTGGTTGGGTTTGATTTAGTTAATGCTTTATCAAATTTATCTTATAATTTACAGCCACATTTGATTGAATTACATAATATACCATTTTCATATACTACATAAAATCTAAGTTATAGAATTAGAAGCGGATACGTGAAAGGCGAAAGTGTTCATTGTGAAAATATTATAAAATGATACATGTTAGAAGCGTTGATATATAACATATAGATATATGTCCCTTGTGACTTATACAAATGCCTCGTCTCAGTTTTAAACTCTTCTAACGATGAGTCTTTAACGCAGATTGTTGGTGGTGAGAAACTACGCCCCGTGTTGCCTATTCAAATGCCTCGGCTCAGTTTAAGATTCTTCTATGTTTGTTTCTCATGATTGTTATTTTAAATTTGCAGGGTTAAAGATATTGATCTAGATTTTTCCATCAAATTGGTTGGTTGATCTGGACTTGGTCAATTAGGTGCTCCATGGTAATATGTGTTGTTCTTTTAATATATATTGTTATGTTATTTAGTATATTCAGTTGATTATCTTATCTCCTTCTGCTCATGAGTTATAGATTCATATGTATCATGTATGTCCATTAAACAGGTAAAGCTTGATGAAACTAGAAGATTAAATGTGACTTATGTAATGGATCTTGGAGCAAGAAAAAGATCAGCTCGTTTATACGCCACTTTTGTTTCAGCTCTTGCTATGATACTCAAGGTCTAATTTTGCAGAACTTGACTAGCCTGCACCTATTTTGTATCGATCTTGTTTATTTGATTTACGTTTTCAAGTATGTGATTTTGTGCAGTCTCTGTGGAAGATTAGCGTTTTCTTGAGCCATTTTTTGATGGACTATGTTCTCACAGCCTCATAGATGATGAAATCTCTTCTCCACAAGACATTCTTTGTATGTTCCTACTCAAGAGAATCAGTCTCACTCATCCTCAGGTCTCTGCTCTCATCTTTTAAAACCTTTTGTGTCTTATGTGTGTTGTTAATTACTTCTTTCTTAAGCTTCGGATGTTTTTGTTGTTACTCTTCAGGAAGCAAATGGTGTTTTTGACCTGTTTCTAAACATCTTGGAGCTTATGCCTCGCTGGGATTCAGACTTTGAAGTGTACGAAGTGGCGAAAAAGATTTGCAATAGATGCAAGATGGGTATGGAACTTCCAGCTGAACGTTCTTTTGGTCTGCTCATCAATGCTGGTTCACTCAGAGAAGTCAAGGCAAGTTTCGTTCTGTTGTCCTTAATCTCTTATGCCACTGAGAAACCTATCTTTCTTGAAAGTGAGGCTGGAAACGTTTTTGGTTATCACAGGCATTATTCGAGAAGTTTACATTCGAGAAGATCATTCAGATCATCAGAATAGACTTTAAGATGCCTTGTGATAAGGAGGGATGTGAGAAACGAAACTATGTTCAACGTATGATATATAAACCTATATATAGCCTATCTTTATGGGTCTTGTTTATTTGATTTACGTTTTCAAGAATGTGATTTTTCGCAGTCTCTGTGGAAGATTAGCGTTTTCTTAAAGCCATTTTTTTATATGTTCAAGAAGTACCTCACAGCCTCACAGATGATGAATCTGTTCTTCCACTCATCCTCTGGTCTCTGCTCTCATCTTTTTAAAGCCTTTTGTGTCTGATGTGTGCTGTTAGTTACTTCTTTCTCAAGCTTCATATGTTTTTGTTGTCTATTATTATTCTTCAGGAAGCAAATGGTGTTTTTGACCTGTTTCTAAACATCTTGGAGCTTCTGCCTCGCTGGAAAAAGATTTGCAATAGATGCAAGATATCCAGTTAAGCGTTCTTTCGATCTGATGTTCACTCAGAAAAGTCAAGGCAAGTCACTTTTTTATCCCTCATACATTAAGCAAAACTATAATACACAGTCTCATGAAAAGTTTAGTTATCTCAGTTTGAGTTTGAGAATATCCTTAAGATGAACTATACGTGATGATCAACAAAATGTATTCTTTTTCTCCTATTTTGATTGGACAAAGAACGAGACTGAAGGAGAAATGTTTAGATAGAACTTCTGTTCTGGCGACCGAGATAGATATTAGTCTGATATATACCAAAACAAAGGTAACAGTTCATTCACCACGTACACTCTTGTCTCAATGGGTAAGAGGTCAAGTATGAAAAAGTTTGCTTCATTTAAGTTTACTTTTGAAGATTATGTTACCCGAAACAACTCCACTTTTTAATATTCAGGTTTGCTCTGTGATCGATACAACTGTCTTCCCTGGGCATTTGGTTATGCTCGGTTTTGGTTAGTTCGGATATGGTAATACATTCGGTTACTTTAGCAATTTAGCTTCGGATCGGTTTGGGTATTTGAATAAATAACCGTAATAACCAAAAATCTATCGAGTTCGGATTTTTGGTTTTTTATCCAAAATAAACCGAATATAAACGAATTGAACCGAAAAATACAAAAATATAATAATATATAAAATAGAAAATTAGAAGAAGAAAAAAGATTGCTTAGCATTGTTATGAAAAAAGAAAAAATAATATATAATAATAACTCAATTAGTTAGCATTGTTATGATCATTGAGTGTATAGAGAGTACTTAGACCATCCTCAATGTATCTTAAGAGGTATCTTTGGGTAAGATATTTTCTATAAGATGTTATGATCATTGAGTGTATCTTATATAAGATGATTTCTTAAGGATATCTTATCCTAAGACTTAAGGTTTTCCAGGTTATTGAAGACTGGAATGGTGTTCTCAGCAAATTTCGGAATCTGCATATTCGATCTGAGTTTCTATTTTTTGAAAATGTAAGGTCCTACTGAGTGAATACTTGCTTATGTTGTTCTTTTTAGGATGTGTGTGTTTTCAGTTCCACCTTGAATTGCAGGCTATGCAGAGGGACCAGTTGGTATCAAAAAGTATCTAAAGACTAAGGAAAGCTTTTTCAATGGTATAGGAAATGGATATTGATGTTTCGAGTCGTAAGTCAAAAATATGTATAGAATGTTGTTAACACCCTTGGTTATATTTCTTTCAAAAACAATATACTGTAGGTTGAAAGACATCTCGTAGAATGGATTGAAGTGAGGATATGATATCTTAAGAAAATGATAAGAAACAACGGTTCATTAACAAAACTTTCATAGAAAACTTACTAGAATTTCTCAAGACTATTTTTTTAAGAAACATATTAAGTTGTTTAATTAGTTTAAGATTGAATTATAAAATTTTGTTTTTGGTGACAACTTTATATAAAACATTTCCTGTTTTAATTCAGTTTCACAAAAATTTGAGGAAGTCGATTTAGTATATACTTGTGGCGTAACACACAATCCATAAGAAAAATGGTAATAAAAGAAGGTCCAAGGGTACTTCTATCATCGGCTTTTTTTGGAAAGGTCCAAGGGTACTACTATATTATCTGAATGAATATACAAGAAAAACAAAAATGAAAGTTTCTGTTTGAAGTCAAGTTTCATCCTGTCTTATGTTGTTATCGGTTGAAAAGAAACTTGTTTGTCTATAACCTGTTGCATTGAAGTGATTGTGTCTGTAACATATGCTGTTAGTATAATCCAAAACCTGATGAAAAGAAACTTTTTTGTTCGTCTTCTCTATTTCCTCTTAGTGAATAAGAAAGAATTAAAATTGTTAGATTGAAATCTGTTTCGTTAAAATGAGAATGTGGGTGTTTCTTTTTGTTCTTATCGTTTCAGAAGACACTTGTTTTTAGTGAATTTGTCTTGCATACAAGTTGTTAGTTTCTTACTTGTTTTTTTTGAAATGAGATTGTGAATGAGTGTGATTTGAACTGAGTTTGTGACTATCTTTTATGAGTCTATAGTAGTTGTATAATATATTTAATTATTGTCATATATGGTGTTGGGGCTGTGTGTTGTTATAAAATGGATAAGTCTTGTGTTGGCTGCCACGGAATAGCATAGAGTGTGAACAAGGAGCAACTTTTTTTGTTTATGCATCAGCAACATATTAGGGGATCCTACTAAAATGTTTTATCCTTGTATTGATTGCCGTAATTTATGTCACCAACCGATATAAATAGTTTTAGATCATCTAGTTATTAGGGGAATGGATCAAAAATACAAGAGAAATAGTTGTTGGAGTAAACATGATTAGACAAATAATTAGCTAAACCTTAAACTATGATACTAGATTAGAAGCATATTTAATTAACAATCAAGTATCCACTTAAGAAAATATCACCACCCTATAAAACAAATACTAATTAACAGAAAAAAAAAAAACCATCGCCTAGGAACAATCACGCGCTTAAAGTTTAAATGTTCAAGAAAATAAGGAATTCAAAACAGCCAAGTATAGTACCAGCAGAGAGAAAAGGGGAGACATGAACGAGTTCATAAGTTGACAAGACCAACAAAACCATACTTGAAAACAGTGATATCATATGGCCATATGGGTAGTCAGCGGTGGAGTCGTCCGGGCGTTGTGTGCACACCTTTTGAGCGCTTTCAAGTATCTCAACAGCACCAAGCCGAAGGAGGATCGAAGAAGTCAACTCCAACGGAAGCTTTTCTAATTAGGCAAATACACGATTGTAACACCCAATCCATATGAAAAGTAGTAAATATAAAAAAGGCCCAAGGATAGCTTCTATGTATCATTGGCTTCTGAAACCCTTGAGTTAAAATTGTATATCATTTGAAGGGGTTTACAAGAAAAAACAAAAATGAAATTTCTGTTAATTTGAAGCCATGGTTCGTTCTCTCTTAGTTTTTTTTTTTTGCTCATTGGTGTAATGGTGTATGTTTTTTCTAATTTTCTTTTTTCTTAGTGAACTAAACTCTATTTAGTAAAAATTTGAAGACTTTTGCTGATCAAACGTTGTATGTATATGAAGGATGTGAACCTGTACTTCTAGCTGTAGTTATAAACTCTTATTACTAAGTGCTGATGTGAAAATCTTGGTAATTAATTAAGTATAGGTCATCTTAAGGCTTGAACTTGTTTTAGCCAAGTTTTAAACCATATTTGTTTTCTTGTAAATTCCTTCAAATGATAATTAAACAAATCAAAGGATCTCTTTACAAACGAGCAAGAACTTGGCTAAAACAAGAGGATTTATAGGTTACAAGTTCGTAGAACGGTTAACACAGATAGTCAAGGCTGAGTTTAATGAGTTTATGCGACGAGCTACTCTGCTTGTTCAGTACTTTTCACTTTTCTTTTTTCAAGAATGTCTTTTACTCCTTTTTTCAGGTGTCGTACCGTAAGAGAATGTTTTGGTTCGTCTGTTGGAGCGACCGAAATACTCTTTGTCAATTCCAAGATTGCGGCTCGGCTTGTAGGCTTCTTAAAATCTTAAAACCATTTCTATAAATCTCCCAAAACGTTAATGCTGAAACACTTTTGTAAATCATAGTGGTCAAGGTCCAGATTGTTATCAAGAATGGCGTTTACGTCACTTTCCGTTAGTCTTGTTCTCAAGAAGCTGGAGGTGATGTAGTTCAAACCTGGTTTCACCAAAAGTAGTCGATGATTTTCATTAAATTTTGCGCGAGAATGCCTGTAATCCAAGCAATTCAGCTCTAATCTATCAATATAAGTTTAAAATTTGGGATTCTTATGAAATATACCATTTCCAATACAAATCTTATCAATATGCCGTTTTTACTAAATTTTTATGGATTTGTCATTTTTGAGCACTTAAAAATGTTCGTATTTGCAATTATTTTGCTAATTTTATAACAAATACTAAACCCTAGCTAAGAACGTAAATATTAAACGCATGTTTAGTCATATTTTCATAACCTAAAAAAAATGCAAATCCATAAAAATATTTAGAAAAAAACTGCCAAATCCACAAATGCCATCACAAAAAATGGCAATTCTATAATTGTTTGTTAAAATGTAGCCATATCCATGCATGTCTCGGGATCAACGATCTATTTCTCCCCTAAAACTATTGCATCTTATTAGAACCACACGTAACTTTGATCTCGACTTACATGTCTATATTTCTTAAGTTCTGATACTATTTCTATACGAATCGATAGTTATATTGCTATTTCTACCTGAATACAAAGTTCTCATCTGTTTTTCCATCGATCTGGGTTTATACGGTTTATTATTGGTCCCCCAAGAATAAATACTAACTGAAGAAACCATCGCCTAGTAACACTCATGCGCTTAAAGTTTAAAAGTTCAAGAAAATAAGGAATTCAAAACAACCAAGTATATAGTACCAGCATAAAGAAAAGAGGAGACATGAACGAGTTCATAAGTTGACAAGACCAACAAAACCAACTTGTGTCGAGAAAAATTCGATAAATAGCCCTGATACTTGTCGCCTTATTCGGCATAGTAGACCTCAATGTCGTCAACGAAATCTACATTGTAGTCATCATCATCTGAGTCAGAATCCTACTTGAAAATTGCCGCATCAAATGGGTAATCGGCGGTTGAGTCGTCCGGGCGTTTTAACTCTTTGATCCTTTTTAAACACTGTTTCTCAAGATTTCCAACAAGGTTAATGTTGGAACACCCGCGTAAATCAAAGTGTTCCAGGTGAGGACAACCATCAAGAATGGCCTTCAAGCCATTGTTAGTAATTCTGTCCTTAAGAAGCTGGAGGTGGCGTAGTTGGGGCATGCTTTCAGCGATTGCTAGTGCATCAACATCACATTTTCTGCGAGATGGTATGTAGTCTGACAAATTTGAAAATCCTGAGGAGTTTAGCTTCAATGTCTTTAGCAAAGGACAAGCATGACCAATAGCTTTTAAATCCAGTTTAATCCCTGAGATTGAGACCTCGAATGTTTCAAGGAGTGGAAGTTTTTGGATTGCCTTCATAAATCCTTCTTTCGTCACACATGTATAGAAGATTCGAAGTTGAAGACTTCTCAGATTCCTTGATCTGCAAATAATTGTGTGTCAAGTTAAATAAATAAAAACTAAGAAGAAGAAGAGCAATAACTAGAAATTCTCAAAGTGCTAACCAACTCATAACCATGTAAAATAAGAAAAGCAATGAATAACGTGTTACTAGCAATGCCTTTAATTGGCTCAAAAAATGATAACGATGCTTTAAAGCAAGTCTATGATAATTAAAAGGTCTATGATAAGCTATGACATTCTTATATATAGATGCTATAATCTAATTACTAGTTTTCATTAACAATGACAAAGGATAAGTAATTAATTAACGGAGTGAAACAAAACAAGACTTGAACAATGTGAAGAAAAAGAACTATTACACATTTCAGATACTGTAAATCACAATTTTGTTTGCCCTAATCCTGACGAGAAAATAAAAAAGGACCAAACACATTTCAGATATTTCCAAACATATATACTCGGACATTTTGTGTCTATTCAAGCAAAACCGTTCAAACTAATCATGCACTTGAGAGCCTAAGGGATAGAATATAACCTATCAGCGACATAATTGAGGAGTTCATCGGTGGCGAAAACACCAAGCTTGATCTCCAACAAGCCGCCCTGGCTTCGATCAACAGCGTGATGACACATGAAATCGTAATCCAAGTCGGCCGTTCCACGGTATCCCATGTCTCGCATATCGATTTTTCGCCACATGGAAGGGTCTTTACAGATCCTTCGCCACTGTGTGCAAACCTTCTGAGCGCTTTCAAGTATCTCAACAGCACCAAGCCTAAGGAGGATCGAAGAAGTCAACTCCAACGGAAGCTTTGTCCAGTCTGTCATCACCGGCGGAGGCTCGAGAGTAGACAACGAAGAGGCAGACATGTTTTTGAGGATAGGAGAAGTGATTTGTTGTGTCCGCCCTTTACGGCTCCTGTGTCTAAATGAAAATTAGGGTTACATAGTATTATCATATTATGTGTTTACGGTACGATTCATGCCACGTATAATAATACTTGATAAGTGAAGGAAGACTCACGCAAGGCCACGCGCACATGTAACGAATAAAATCACGCGCTTGATTTTTTCTAATTAGGCAAATACACGATTGTAACACCCAATTCATAAGAAAAGTAGTAAATATAAAAAAGGCCCAAGGATAGCTTCTATGTATCATTGGCTTCTGAAACCCTTGAGTTAAAATTGTATATCATTTGAAGGAGTTTACAAGAAAAACAAAAATGAAATTTCTGATCAAAACTCTATTTAGTAAAAACTTGAAGACTTTTGCTGATCAAACGTTGTATGTATATGAAGGATGTGAATCTGTACTTCTAGCTGTAGTTTTAAACTCTTATTACTAAGTGCTGATGTGAAAATCTTGGTAATTAATTAAGTATAGGTCATCTTAAGGCTTGAACTTGTTTTAGCCAAGTTTTAAACCATTTTTGTTTTTCTTGTAAATTCCTTCAAATGATAATTAAAAAAAATCAAAGGATCTCTTTACAAATGAAAGTTTAAATTGTTTAATTTGTATACAAATTTATAAGGTTAAAGTGGCTTAATGGTAAGAATGCACCAGATCAATATAGAGATCAAGGGTTCAATCTTTCTCTCCGACACTTTTTGCACCTGGTGTTTGGTTTGGCTAGATCCGCCACTGAGAGGTGGCGTAGTTCAAACCTGGTTTCACCAAAAGTAGTCGATGATTTTCATTAAATTTTGCGTGAGAACGCCTCTAATCCAAGCAATTCAGCTTCAATCTATCAATATAAGTTTAAAATTTGGGATTCTTATGAAATATACCATTTCCAGTACAAATCTTATCAATATGCCATTTTTACTAAAATTTTATGGATTTGTCATTTTTGAACACTTGAAAATGTTCGTATTTGCACTTGTTTTGCTAATTTTATAACAAATACTAAGCCCTAAGAACAAATAGACCCAACTAAACCCATACATAATAGATTAAACGCATGTTTAATCATATTGACATAACCTAAAAAATGCAAATCTTAAAATTTAGACAAAATGGCAGATACACAAATGCCATCACAAAAATGGCAATTCTATAATTGATTGTTAAAATTTAGCCATATCCATGAGTGAGACCTATAGCTCCCTTAAGCTTTAGTAGTTTTGCGACTGCATTCACAAATATTTTTGGCACCATTTGAAATCTAAGGCTTCTTAGGTTACTTGATTAGACAAATAATTAGCTAAACCTTAAACTATGACACTAGATTAGAAGCATATTTAATTAACAATCAAGTATCCACTTAAGGAAAATCATCGCCCTACAGAACAAATACTAATCGATCGAAAAAACCATCGTCTAGTAACAATCACGCGCTTAAATTTAAAAGTTCAAGAAAATAAGGAATTCAAAATAACCAAGTATAGTACCAGCATAAAGAAAAGAGGAGACATTAACGAGTTCATAAGTTGACAAGACCAACAAAACCATACTTGAAAACAGTGATATCATATGGGTAGTCAGTGGTGGAGTCATCCAGGCGTCTAAGCGCTTTGATCCCCTCCCAAATATTGTTTCTCAAGATTTCCAGCAAGGTTAATGTTGAAACACTTGCGTAAATCAAGGTGTTCTAGGTGAGGACAACCGTCAAGAATTGCCTTCAAGCCATTGGCTGTTATTCTGTCCCCAATGAGCTGGAGGTGGCGTAGTTGGGGCATAGCTTCAGCGATTCCTAGGGCATAATCATCATCATCAGAATTGATGCTGAATATGTAGGCTAACAATCCTAAGGAGTTTATCTTCAATGTCTTTAGCCGAGGACAAGCGTGGCCTACAGCTTTTAAATCCAGTATAATCCCTGAGTGTGCGAGCTCGAAGGTTTCAAGGAATGGAAGTTTTTCGATTGCCTTCATAAATCCTGCTTTCGTCACACATTTAAAGAACCTTCCAAGTCCAAGACTTGTTAGATTCCTTGATCTGCAAATAATTGTGTGTCATATTAAAACAAAAACTAATAAAAAGAAGAAGAAGATCAATGAATGACGTGTTACTAGCAAAGTAGCAATGCCTTACATGCCTCAAAAACCTAAAAGTCTAGGGATGCTTTAAGCAAGTCTATGATAAGAGTCTATAATTAATAAGCTGATGATATATTGTTCTTATATATGCTAACTAATAACCAAACTACTTAAGTTTCATTAAACATGACAAAGGATTAGTAATTGATTAAGTATGATCATGAGAGTAATTAACGAAAGTGAAACAAAACAAACAATGTGAGAAAAATGGACTATTATAAAGATATTACGGCGCCATAGCAACAATTACTAATCACAAAATAATTACTCTAAATTACTATACAGGTATCTAATTAATACCCATTATACGAAAAGAATAGTACACAAAAGACATGATAACCAAAACACATTTCAGATATTGTAAGTAAAAAAATTTTAGATATTGTAAGTAAAAAATTTTTTTGCCCTAATCCTCATGAGAAAATAAAAAGGAACAAACACATTTCAGATATTTCGAAACATATATACTCGGACATTTTGTGTCTAACTATTCAGAGACAGTGAAATAAAGCAAAAGTTTCTAGATGTCCATGAAACCATGTGCTTGAGAGCATATAAGGGATAGAGAGAACTCAGAAAAGAGAACCTCTCAGCGACGTAGGTGATGAGTTCATCGGTCGCGAAAGCACCAAAGTTGATCTCCAACAAGCCGCCCTGGCTACGATCAACAGCGTGACGACACAAGATACCGAAATCCAAGTCGCCTTTTTTGCGATTTCCCAGGTCTCGCATATCGATTTTTCGCCATATAGAAGGGTCTTTAGAGATGCTACGCCACTGTGTGCACACCTTCTGAGCGTTTTCAAGTATCTCAACAGCACCGAGTCGTAGTAAGATCAAAGACGTCAACTCCAAAGGAAGCTCCGTCCAGTCTATCATCATCGGCGGAGGCACGACAGTAGAAGATGAGGCAGACATGTTTTTGAGGAAAGGAGAAAGTGAAGTGAAGTGTTTGTTGTGTCCGACCTTTACGGCTTCTGTGTCCTGTCTCTAAATGAAAACTAGGGTTACGTAGTAATATGTGTTTGTGGTACAATTCATGCCACGTATAATAATACTTGATAAGTGAAGGAAGACTCAAGCAAGGCCACACGAACATGTAATGAATAACACTGACGCGCTTGTATTGTCTTGAAAAAGAAACATATCTTCTACTTCATTCCATTTTAGGTAGGAAATCCAAAAAAGAAATTGTCGAATAGACTATTTTAGTAAAAATATAATCGGGTTTGATTTTGTTAATTCTTTGTCATCAGTTGTAATGTTGTACTAGGTTCGGACCCGCGCTACAGCGCGGAGGAAATAATTACATATATATAACCTTTAACAAATAAAATATGTTACATTTTAATTTTATTACAGTGCAGTCATATACTTGTATAATACGTTTAAATAAAATAATAAAAGAAAAAAGTGAGTAAATAATCATATATTGAGTTTTGATGCAATTAAAAACACGATGAAAATTTAACAGCACAAAATAATATTTGTTGATAAATTAATTATTTTGACCATTTTGTAGTATAAGTAGGAATATACGTAAAAATTACATATTTACAATATATTTTTTGAAGGACCAACCGTAACAGAATTCATCTCGTAAAAAACATTATTCATAACTCGCGTGAACTATCTAAAATTTACATAGTTTGATATATAATATATTTTATGAATAAAAATTATGTCTTCAAAAAATATTTTCGATATTTTAAATTTTAAATTTTTTTATATATTTGAACCTTTTAATTATAATATTTTGAAACTTTTTTGAAATTTTAAATATGCTCACGGAACAATGGTTTTAATATTGGTCAAACTTATAATGATTTTAAACCATTGTCCAAAATATTTAACCGAGTGTAGTTGAGTATTATATGTCCGTTTTGAAAAATTCAAATTGCAACATATGAAAAAAAGTAAATTTTTTATTAAATATTTACATTATATAGTATAATATCATAAATTAAAAATAAGATCAAATAAAAGTGAAAGAAGAATAATAAATTTTTAGTAGATTATATTAAATTACTTAGAGAAATATTAGGAAATCCTATAATTAGTTATGGAAATAATACAATCCTAAAATTAGATATGGTAAGTATTCGATGTATGTATTCAAATCCAATTTAATATCCAATTTTGAAGTATCCAATTGTTAAAATCGGGTTAATCTTTTAATTTTGACCCGACCCATATTCCATTTTGTACTTCTCTTTTACTAATATAGGGATGTTTACATTTTACATTTGAATTTGATAGGACTAAATAATGGATAAATGTAATGTATGATATATCTAAGTGTCCTACAGAAAGATTTAAAAATCTATCTTAACATTTTTGAAGTACATTTTGTACTAAAATCTATTTTGGGTTATAACCTTTTATTTTGTAATATTTACATAATCAAACCCTTGCCATTTGAATAAATAACAAAACTTAAAGTAAATTTTGTAATTAAATCACAAGTAAATATCAAAATTGGAAACAAATATTTATTACATCAAAACATTTTCCTAAAATATCTCTCTAATAACTTGAATCTCTCTCCAATATATTTATATAATCTTATTTATTTTTCAATTTATATTATTACATAAAAGTATTCATAATAAAAATACAAATTTTTTTCACACATTTTGCAATTTAAATTTTTGAAAACGGATGTATATAACTGAATTGATAAAGGGAAAATGTTTATATAAAAGTTCAAAACCATTATAAATATGACTAATATGTTTCCAACTACAAATGAGCATGAAATTTGGTTTCTTAGGCATCCAAATTAAATAAATTATTCTATTTAATCCGGTTATATATTTAAGAAAAATAAATTTTTAGAAGTTTCAAAATATTATAAATTTTAATTTCTTAGAAAGGTTTAAAATATTATAGAAACTCTTACTAATGCTCTAATGTTATAACACTTAATTTAAAGTATAATTAATATTTTAACTCTAAATTTTTTAAAATATAATAATATTGTACATTAATATTTTAACTCTATTTTTCTTGCGGGTTGTCTATAATAAAATATTTTTACGGGTTAAGTTAAAATATAATTTGTTTTACAACAAAATTATCCCGCGGTATACCGCGAGTTGACTACATATATCTATGAATCTACTTATAATAAAAATTCATACAATTATGTAAAATTAAATGAAATAAACACATATGTATAAAACTAGACTATAAAAACCAACTACAAAAATCTGACCAACCAAACAAATATATTAAATTATGGACCCGTGGTGTACCACGGGGTAGATCCTAGTATATATCATTTTCGTATACATACTACATAAAATCTATTTAGTATGACTGTTATTTTCCCTCTAAACAAAGACAATGCTTCTCTAGTTGAAATGAACAACGAACACGTGGATTTACAACTTCATTTGAGTAATCGGGATGGTTGTTCCTTGATTGAGTTAAAATACTCTTCCACATGTTTGTGAAGCAAATGAAGACATTATGGTTAATATGACTGAACACAGTGAAGATTGTGGACACAACTGTGAAGAACAAGATCAGAACAGGAAGCAAACGCAGGTAAGCATTACGCATGAACTGGTCATTATGGTTTGCTAATGTTATTCAGGATCAGTAGGTAACTCTTTATAAGCATATCACTAGATTTATTTCTTTGTTTTGCAGATTATGTGAAGGATCTCGAGAACCCTCTGCCTCGCTCTGCTTCCGACCACAGGAGGAACACAAGATGTGACTATTTTCGCATTCCGTAGATTAGTGGTTAGGTGCATTACCTAGCTTGTTAAATTCGTTGTGTCATTCAGTTTGATATTAACGCTACTACTTAGATAATAAAACATAATCATCTTTGATTTGGAAGGAGACTCAATGTAACATGACCTTCTCAAGGAAGTAGAGACAGCTCTAAGTGTAGACTAAAGCAAGAACCATAGCTTATAGCCGTATACAGTGAACGGCTAGAATCAAATCCAAATCTGAACTTTTTTGTGTTGTCAATGTTACAGACGGCCAATACATAGAAGCACAAGCGCAGAAACGCACAGCTAGATCCCTAAAGCGCTATAGATGCCCAATATGGCCGCAACTTCCAATATACTTAACTATTGTCAAGCTTGCATAGTCTCAGTCCTCAAACATAAAACCGAACAAGATCAAATAAAAGGACTATGAAGATCAAGATCCAATCTTATAACACAAGTCGGGTTAAGCTTCACCTTTCTTCTACCTTAAGGCAACAAAATATAAATTGCTAAGAGCAGAGTTTGATTGAGTTTAATTACATGAACTCAGCTGATCAGTAACAGGCTAACAGCATCAAGTTAATGGATTTGTGATTCATATATCAGCAAGAAGCACGTTGAGAGAAAATTTAAACATCCCTCACGAATTCTCATTGCAAACTAAGTAAAAACGATACTTTTCTTCGGTTCATCAATCAACACCCCAAAACCTAATGGGTAAAACCACAGCTGTAGTGAACTGAAGCTTCTCAGGAACATAAGCTGTTTAAATCACCTTTCATCTATCTCAAAGCAATACGATAAAGCTTAAGACGATGCCAGATCTGAAACAGCCGCAACTGTGAATTCATATGTAACCAAAGGAGAACACTGAAACTGTTAAAAGCATTCTCTGACTAGACCTCAAACAGCATTCACTTACTGACACTATTATTCATATTTCGGTACTTGTCACCAAGTTCTCACTAAACTTCCTTAATTAAACCAAAAGGCTAAATCATCCTCTGTAAAGATGCAATGAATTACCATTTAACAAAAACTAACGAAGGAGAGTGGAGAAAAATATTCATATCCATCACATATTATCTAACTGGCAAATTAAAGTAAACACCAATCTCTTCATCAATTCATCAAAAGAACACATTATCAAAAGGGTAAAACCACACACTATAGTGAAGAGAAAACTTCTCAAAAACTAGGAATCAAGATTCACTCCTCAAACACAAGATCGTTTAATTCTCACCTTTCATCTACCCCAAAGCTCTAGATGTTAAAGTTCAACACTTGCTTAGGAGCAGAATATGATCTGAAACATCAATCCACATACTGAAACAACAATTCAAATGTCTGCAAACTAAGTAACACTACAATCCCTTGTTCAATTCATCATACAGAACACAATCTCAAATGGAACAAAACCACCATTCGCGTGAAGCAAGATCAACAGAGATATAAACTACAATCTCTGGTTCAATTCATCATACATAGTAAGTAGTACACTGAAGCTAACTTCCCAACCAAAAAACAAAGATCACAAGGTACAAAAAAAAAACTAACCTTACAAAGCAAAGCTTTTGAGGAAACCAGGATCACGTTTAGCTTTCTCCTGAAACTTCTTAAACCACCGATCCAAAATATCCATAGGAACAACCAATTTACTCCCATCAACACCACAAAAAGACTGCATAAAGTTAAACAAATTCTCCCCAACTTTCATAGCCAATTTCTCAATCTTCCTCTCAGCCACAACATCCATCGAACTCAAAGCCGCCGCATCCTCAACCGAAACACCAATCTTGGCCGATAAAGAACTCGAATCACCCGCCGTGAGTTGCATCTGCGCCGCACTACCAGGTTCAGGCCATTGAAGTGACAACACAGCAGAAGGTCTAGCTAAAGTTACAGCACCACAGAACACAAAAGCAGAGCCTGGTGATTGAACATACACAGCTAATGCTTTATCTGGTGGGAGATTGAAGTTGTTTAACAAGAAGATACACATCTCTGAGATTTGATCATATGCTTCACCTGTAGATAAATAAGATTCGATTTTTCGATTAGGGTTTTTGATTTGGGGATTTAGGGTTTTGAAAAATTGGGTCTTTACTTACCGACGAAGTGGTTCATGTCGAGAACCCAGTGAAAAGTATCGATTTGGGTGAAGGTTGAGATATCAATTGGGAAACTTCGATTGGGGAAGACGACGCCGAACATTTTTGAATTTTGGGTTTTTTGTAATCTGAAGGATTTTGATTTTTGAAGATTTGAGAGGTTTTTGAAGTTTTGGTGTTTGGTGAACTTAGGAAGAAGAAAGATAGAGAGTGAGAAGATGATTCTAGAAGATTTGAGAGAGAGAGCTACTAAAAATAAATGATTTTTTTTGTTATTTTTTTACTTTTAAAAACAAAATATTAATGATTTCTTTCCATTACCAAAATAAAAGAAAAATCTATAATGAATGAATTATTATACTAAGATTTACTCAATGGAAAAATATTTTACCAATAAAATCAATTTAATTAGGTTTAAAATGATTTATCCGCATTTGTAGAACCAATTTATTAATATTTTACCAATAAAATCAATTTAATTAGGTTTAAAATGATTTATCCGCATTTGTAGAACCAATTTATTAATATTTTAAATTTATATTAATGTCGACACAAATTTTTTCATAACTCATTACTGTCATATAAATCAGTTATGTGATATTTTAAACTTAAGGTCATTTAAAAACTAAGAAAATTTAGGAGAATGTCATGATAAATAGTTCAATAGTATTTCTTTCTTAAACTGTCATATTTGATTTTGTTTTTCAATTTGCATGTCATATGTTGTATGCAAAATGACATATCTAATCTTCACACCTTTTATTATATATGTAAATTATTATATTTATATACATAGTCAAGTTTTACATCATTTTTCCATGGACAAGTTAGTTTTATAACTATGTATAGACAAGTTTGAATATATGCTAAGTATGCATCTAACATAAAATATTTGAATAAACAGTTCTTGAAAAGTTAGTTTTGGTTACCGAACAAGTTTGAATTCCACTTTCGACGTACGTCTAGTGTATTTGTCATAGTAAGTTGTCCAAAATATTATTCGTGGACAAGTTGTACACAATTTTTCTGATTTTAATTCAAATTTTAAATTTTTGAAAATAAATTATTAATGATTTTTATTTCACTATTGGTTTGGCATTAAATATTTTAAAAATATATTTGATAATCAAATATCAAAATATTTTTAATTATACAAAACCATAACCCATTCAGTATAACAAATTATTATTTATAGCTTTTAATATAATAAGTAAATATAAAAAAAACTTGAATTTTTCTTAATTAATGTTGGAGTCAAAGTTGGTATATATGAAGTCAGTCGGTCTATCCGTCAAGCGTCAATGCACCAAAATTATATGTTTATAATGGTTTATATAGGTGTAGACATAGTTCCTTAAGTTAGGGTGCATTAAAAATTACTAAAATATTCAACTAATTTTTTTTCAAAAAGATGTATTTTTTTACCAAATTACAAAATCGCGTTTTTCGATAAAACCAAAAAGTTATGTTTCCCAACAAAAAATGTATTTCCTTCCAAATTACAATAATACGTTTTATCACAATATATATATATATATATATATATTTTCCACAAACCCGAATATTTTCCCCAAAACAGTAATTAAATTTAATATAAGAATAAAATAATCAATAATGAGTAATTCTAATTAAACAATTAAAAATATTTATCGGCTATATTTTATATCATAAAGTACAAATTACATGACCAATCAAATTTTGCCTCATAGTTTTTTTTGTAAAGAGCAAAAAGCATCTCTTTTTTATTTTACAAACTTAAAAAATCTAATTGCATATTTTTTTTAAGTAACTTACGTCAAACATAAAAGTTACTGCTGACATGCCACAATTTAACACATAATATTTTAAATAAAATTAACAACATATGTCTTTATTCTAGCTATGTCGAAAATGCATATACAGAGTAAATATAGGTTAACTCCCACACGATCATTAAAAAAAAAAATTCTTTAATTTGCATGATGTATAAATACCTGAAATTTTACTTACATCTTACTGTTCTTCTTGTGTTCGAGTTTTAGTCGAGAAACTCCTCTTGAGGTAATACTCTTTAATTAACATATGTCTAGATATAAATTTTAGTTATATACGATTTTCTGTTGATATTGTATTATTTGTTTGTTACTTTGTATTAGTTATTGTATTATTTTCTGTTTATATTTATGTTTTGTGATATTTGTTAGGATACAATTTGTGATCTTGAGATGTCAAAAATATATATATATATATATATATATATATATTTGTGATCTTGCCTCCGATGGGTGGCCGAAAAAGATTTTGGGAGTTACTTTGAATCCCTATTTTTATTACTACTAGGTAATGTCCCGCGCATATGCGCGGGTTGTTGTATATTTATTTAATTATTTTAATTTATTTATTACTTATAAAAAATAGATTAAATAAATTTTAGTGCTTATGACATTTTTACATGTTATTTACTTAAATCATACAATAGAAGCATATATCCATATCTTTTGAACTCATTCGTTTATTAATTGTTCAATTAATCAATTTTGATAGTAATTTTCTTTACTACTTTTATGTATTTTTTGATAAAACAATAATATTGTTAATGATAAAAATAGGAATGATATTGGGAGAATTTAAAAAATACCCCTTTAAAAATATCACTTTTTAAATTTACCCCCTTTCCAAACTTTATCAAAACAACCACTAAAAGTGTTGAAATTTATCCAAATATGTGTGTAAACTTATAAATATACACCAAAATTACCTTTATTTGTGTATAAAATTTTATTTATTTCGATGTCTTACAGATTGGTTTGAATATAACAAAAAATATTTTGTTAAAATAATTACATACTTTGAAAATAAAATAAATATACATGAATATGTGAGAAAGAAAAAACATATAAAGTAAAACAATGAAAATGGTTTATTTAGCTTGATTTTCTTATGGTGCGATGGTCAGAAATCAATATTTTTGAATCCCATCGATAAAGTAATTTCCTTATAGCCATAAAATATTATTATACATATGTATTATACATTTAATAGTATAAAAAACAATAAAAATGAAGAAGTAAGAATATAATTGAAAACAAAAGTTTTAACCAAATATATAATCAAG